GTTAGTATATATTTTATATATAATACAGGATGGTCGGGTATATATATGGTATATTATAATCACAGTTGGTTATATATATTAATATGTAATACATTGTTATCATATGATATATATAAAAGGTTATAATATTATAAATAATACATGGTTACTATTACTATTAGGGTATATAAATAGGAGTGGTGCGGTTATGTAATAGTTGGATTCAAGTGTATTGAATACAGGTGTGTATATTAGTTTATATATAATACAGTGGTCTATATATATTTATTATAATATAGTGGTTATAGTAATATCATATCAATATAGTGTATATGTATATCATATTAAACTTAAGTGGTCTAATTATAATATATTAACAGTGGTTATATATATTGTATTTTATCAATATAGGGTTATATGGTAATATTATAATACAGTGTTATATGTAATATATATATAGTGGTTTTATATGATATAGTAGTTATATATAAATATATATAATATAGTGGTTATATTAATATATATTATATAGTGGTATATATAATATATGTAATATTAGTGTTATATGGTGAATATATGTAATATAGGTTAGTATATATAATATAGTGTTATATTAATATATAGAATAGTTGGTGGTATATATATATATGAAATATAGTTGTGTGTAGTATAGGTAGGGTACATTAATCATGGTGGTTATATATATAATATAGTGGTTACATATATATAATATAGTGGTTATATAAATATATATAACATAGTGTATATTAGTATAATACTTATATAACATAGTGGTTTATATATAATGATAGTGGTTACACAAATGGGTGTGATAGTAAGTAGGATTATTAATGGCTTATATAATAATGCTTGGTTATTGGTAGGGAAATCAAGTAATTCCTATTTAGAGAGTTCAGAAATTGAATTTTTTGGTGGGTTTTTTTTTTTTTGAGAAGAGTTCTCGCTCTGTCGCCCGAGCTAGGAGTGCCGTTGGCGTTCAGCCTCGCTCACAGGCAGCCTCAACTTTGAGGCATGAAGCGATCCTCCTAGCCTCAGGCCTGCCCTTCGAGAGCTGGGACTAGAGACATGCCTGCCCCACCACAGCGCGCGCGCCAGCTGTCATTGTTGAATATATATATATATATTATTTTTTTTTTTTTTAGTTGTGACCAGCGAATTTGTTTCCATTTATAGTAGAGATGGGGTCTCGCTCTTGCTCAGGCTGGTCTTGAACTCCTCAATTTAAGCGATCCTCCCTCCTCGGCCTCCGGAGTAGCTCGGACTACAGGCATGCGCCAACATGCCCGGCTAATTTTATATAGATAGATAGATAGATAGTTTGGTTTTTTTTAGTAGAGACAGGGTCCCACTCTTGCTCAGGCTGGCCTCCAACTCCTGACCCCGAGCAATCCTCCCGCCTCAGCCTCCGGAGTAGCTCAGAATACAGGCATGCGCCAACATGCCCAGCTAATTTTATATAGATAGACAGATAGATAGATAGATAGATAGATAGATAGATAGATAGATAGATATTTGTTTTTTTTTAGTAGAGACAGGGTCCTACTCTTGCTCAGGCTGGCCTCAAACTCCTGGCCCCGAGCGATCCTCCCGCCTCGGCCTCCCAGCGTGCCGAGACGACAGGCGTGAGCCTCCGCGCCCGGCCCGAAAACTGGATTTTCCTCATGGGTTCTCTTCGGAAGAGCTGAGCGAGCAAGACAGATGTCAGCGCCCGTCCCGGGGGCCTCGGGCCGGCTGCCCCCGTCAGATGTCGCTAGTCGGGACCCCCGGGCCTCGCGTGTCCGACAGCCGAGCTGGAGACCACCCCCTTGCGGGATAAAGAGCCTGCGGAGCGGCGCTTTCATGGGCGCCCGCCCTGCCCTCTTCTCCTGCAGGTGTTCCACAGCTTCTTCTGGCCCCTCGAGTGGACGCTGGCCGGCAGGGAGAACAACACTTGCTACGCCAAGATAATCTGCAACAAGCTGGACCACGTGCGTAGCGTCGCCCCCGGCCCACGCGCTTTATATTTTTTTTTATTTTTTATTTTATTTTATTTTATTTTTTTGAGACAGAGTCTCGCTCTGTTGCCCGGGCTGGAGCGAGCGCCGTGGCGTCAGCCTCGCCCACAGCGGCCTCCGACTCCTGGCCTCAAGTCACGATCCTCCTGCCTCAGCCTCCCCCCCCGAGTAGCTGGGACGACAGGCGTGCGCCGCCACGCCCGGCTCGTTTATTCTCTATATATTTTCAGTTAGCTGGCCAATTGATTTCTTTCTACTTATAGTAGAGACGGGGTCTCGCTCTTGCTCAGGCTGGTCTCGATCTCCTGGCCTGGAGCGATCCTCCCGCCTCGGCCTCCTCCCAGAGTGCTGGGATGACAGGCGTGAGCCACCGCGCCCGGCCTCAAGTACTTTAATTGAATTTTATTTGGTTTTTTAACTCAATTTAGACAGCTAAATGATCTGTCGCCCCGGGCTAGAGCGCCGTGGTGTCCGCTTAGCTCACAGCGGCCTCCAATTCCTGGGCTCAGGCGAGCCTCCTGCCTTGGCCTCCCTCCCGAGTAGCTGGGACCACAGGCGTGCGCCTCCATGCCCGGCTCAGTTTTTATATATATATATATATGTTTTTAGTTGCCCGGCTCATTTCTTTCTATTGTTTTTTTAGTAGAGACGGGGTCTCGCTCTTGCTCGATCTGGTCTCGATCTCTTGACCTCAAGCGATCCTCCTGCCTCAGCCTCCCTCCCAGAGTGCTGGGATGACAGGCGAGAGCCACCGTGCCCGGCTAATTTTTATTATGGGTATTTTTAGTTGTCCAGCCAATTTCTTTCAATTTTTTTCAGCAGAGACAGAGGGTCTCGCTCTTGCTCAGGCTGGTCTCGAACTCCTGGCCTCGAGCGATCCTCCAGCCTCAGCCTCCCTCCGGAGTAGCTGGGACGACAGGCATGCACCACCACGCCCGGCTCATTTTTTTCTATATATTTTTAGATGTCCAGCTAATTTCTTTCTTTCTTTTT